AACCGCGGCACGGGCAGCGGGCCAAAGCGYGCAGGAGAGGAAGCCCGCGGGATTTGCACAATGAGTAAATGCAACGTTTGTTTCTAATTAACTTCTGCAGTCATTTGAGGGAAGTTTCAAATACAGACTGGGGAATACTTAATCCTCATCAAGTCAAATGGATTCAAGTCTTTTTTAAAAAAGGAATTTTTAACTAGAAGAGTCAAGAAAGGCTATGGGACACCAGATTTCAGCTGCATGGTTTCTGTTTTATTAACAATGCAGGTAATGTCTCAGGAAGGACCTAGACTTCAAACCTAAGCAGTCCACCTGAAGAGTATATCCATTAAGCAAGAGTAAGGGGATATCCTTGTAAGCCAACAAGAGGATGCCTGGAAGCAAAAGTGCAGCCAAGATCGTTTTAACTGAACTGCTCACAGCCCTTTGGCATTGCAATATATGTGCACACTGGCCTGAACAATTATATATTGCTCAGATATCGAGATGATTTTTATAAATTTGTTAAACAGAATCTTTTCTACTTCAATATAATAACATTTCTCAATAAAATTCAGCTACTTCAAACTGATGCCAGAGAGAGCACAAGAGATTTCAAGGAAGGAGAGGGTCCTTATTCTTCTGTGACAAAAGAATTATCTGCTATTAGTAGCTAGAGGGACATCTTTTCCAGAACACTTTAAAATAATGTTTCATTATAGTAAAATGATGTTTACTGCTCTTCTGGCCCAAAGCCACATTGCAGTTTCTGTAGAATCGATGAGAATAAGTGAACTCTTTATCGAATTTCTCACTAACAGCAGAGAAAGGCTCAATCAATCAGTCATTAATCAATATTCAGACAACATAATGCTCTTCAACACAGTTACCCTTGTGTTTATATGGAAACTTGAGCATCTCAAATGTGGCAAATGCACTGTATCTTCGAAAATGTTTCGAAAACAAACAATTTTATGAAGTCTTGTATTAAATGCAATACAAAAGGTATTCAGCATTATATGCATAAAAACCTGTTGCATAGTGTAACCTCTCTGTAATCAGACCACCCTATTTCTAAATAGGTATAATATGCCTTAACTATCTGTATTACTGTTATGTAATCTCCAGCTATGTTATAGTTGTTTATTTGAATTACTAACTTGCTGACTTTGCTAGCTTCATCTTCATTAATAGTCCCAAAGGTATTAAAGTTCATATAATATCCATATATGATTGCACAGATTAGGGGTCGACCTGCTGGAAAGCACCTCCACGGAGAGGGARCTGGGAGTCCTGATTGACACCAAGTTCACCATGAGTCAGCAGTGTGCCCTTGTGGCCAAGAAGTCCAAAGGGATCCTGGCCTGCATC